TTTTCAAGAAAATTTTATTATTTTATTTTAAAGCTTCTAAATTAAGCTTTTCGAAACTAATTTTATTTTGTCTCTATGGCCGTTAGAAGTGGAATTATAGCTGATCTTGTTCTATGCCGTAAATCGGATGTTTCTGTTTAAGAACCCGGAAGGGGATGTTTAAAAGTACACAAACTTATCTAAATAAATTTAATATGTGAATGTTTTACTTGAATACTTTTGGTGATGTTCAAAAATTCATTTTGAACCTTTATGTTTGTTATTAAGTGCCTTGGAACAAGATTAGTTTGACAATTAAATTTTTAGATTTCACAGCGCCTTTTTCCCTTCTGGTTTGCAATACAATAAACCTATTTATTGAAAAACTTGATGTTTTTCAACTTTTGCTTTGCAAAAAGAAACTTAAAATATTACTATAGTAATTTTATGAAACTTTTCACAAATACTCTATGAAGTATTGTGAATTAAAGAGACTAAATTTTAGGTTTATATACATATAAAAAAATTTTTTAGACAATTTTGTAAAAGAAAAAAAAAAAATTCTGAAAACATAGCTCATTGTGTATGTACTCAAACACGTATATTTAATAGACATTTTACTTCTACTCTTAAACTTTAGACTATTTAATTCCTTATGCCTTAATAAACATAAGTGACAAATATAAGAGTTAAATAATGAAAACATTTATGAGAACATTCCTAGTAATCCTGAAGTAGTAAGAAAAAGCAAAACTTTGATAATGTTTTTCACTTCTTTCTATCTTTTCACTTTTTTTAAGTAATATTCTGCTAAATAACGCCAATAATAAGAGAAAAAATAAATCTCACCTGATAAACTTTTGAAACCAATTAATTACTTCTGTTGCCTTTTTGTAATGAAAAGCAGTTTACTGTAATTATCGAATTGATACTTAAATAACTCATACCCACCATTTTATAATAATAATGTACGTATTAGAAATTTCACAGCGCACGATTCAAATGATATTGATTGCTGTAAAAATGTTATTTAGCAAATTTTCTTTGAAAGTAGAGGGAATTAATTGCAGTTTTACAATTAAAATATAACTGATATAATAAATTTAATTGCAACAGCAACTACGATTCATAATCGCCTTCCCCCACGTTTAAGAAATTATCACTTGTAACTGCACATATCCTTTCTTGATAACAAACACCGAAAAGTGGGCCTGATTATTAAATAAAAATGTGTAAATCGTAAATTTCTCATATTATTTGATAACGTTTCCATAGCCTGATTGAAAATTATTGAAAATGAAAAGATATTGTAAAGGCATTCAGGACAAAACAAAATGGATTTTATAGACATCACACTTCTATTTCACCAAAAATAAAAATTCGAATTTTATAATTTCGTCAATATTTTTAATTTTTTAAGCATCTGAAATATTATTGCTTTGTGCTGAACAAATTCCATTAATCTGCACATTCAGACATACAGGTACTAAAACGAAGAGTCGTCTTTCAGTCACCTGGGAAATTAAGCAGATTATTGGATGCAATTAATTTGCAATTAGAACAAAAACATTTTGTTATTTTTAAAATCACGTCCTCTTAATGGTCTCTTTTCACCAAAAAGGAAACATTTAATATGCACTATGAACTAAATTAATGTAAACAAGCACACAAAATAAAACGATATTAATTATTTATATGTAAACTTATCGTAATATTCTTCAGAGATACATTGATCCTTTGTATAAGCTACAAAATTAGCGATTACTATTGGTAGAAATCAGTAAACACGGTATGCGATTTTATTAACTTGCAAACGCTTAAAATATTTTTAAAAATATATTTTATTATTTAAACAATAAAAAAAAGAAAAATTGCAATCTGAAACATCAGGTTAAAATCAACTAAGTCCAAAATTATTCATGAATTCTGAACAATGTTTTGTTATGGTGACGCTGAAGGCTAGTGAAGACTAACGTCTTCACTAGCCTTGATGATAATGCTAATACACATGATGATAATACACATGATAATGCTTAATTCCTGGTGAAACTTTGTTTTTATAAAAAGTTATTATGGGCAGTTGCAGCTCATTTTTGCAGCATGATTTACGTAGTTCTTTGATAAAGGTATAGTAAAGCAATAAACAAGTATAAAGATAGGTGATCTCCTAATTTCACAAGTGTGAGTTATGTTTCACTAAATAGAGTTCGCAAGCGAACAAAGAATGCAGTCGGCATTCTGCGCAGAATTGAGAAGTTATGCGTAGATTACTTGAGTGTATTATATGCGTGTATATTAGGATTAGTGAGTGAACAGTGGTTTTTTTTTTAATTTTTATTAAAGTTCCTCAATGTTTCGGCTTCACAATTTAACACTATTGTTCGCGAAAGCACTTTTGGCATTAAGTAAGAGTGTAATCCTGTGAGAAAATTTAAATTTGAAATGAAACACAGCAATTTATCAAATACTAGGGGAAATCTAAAAGTGCAAACATCAAGATAAAAAAAAAATACAGTCTTATTGTTGTATGATGGCTATATCTGTAAAATACTAAACTAAGAATTAAAGAAAGGTGTATTGGTTTAAGAATTAATACCGCAGATATAAAAGTTAAAAAACATACATTTTTGTATTAAAAATTAGCTGTTAAAATTCGCAAAGCTAAACAAATGCTAGAAAATAAGTTCTGTGACATAATATCATAAATCAATTCCATATGGATACTTGCGAACTTTTTTCAATAAAGAAAATTTCCTAATTATTCACGGCGTAATTGTCTATCTCTTTCACTGCTTGCGCATGAGGCTTTTAATAAATATCATCCTCGAATATCAATTTTTCTTATTTTAACAGGATAACATACCCACTTTTTGAAACATATTGATTTCTCTGAAATTGGATTCTTCCCGGCGTTTACAAAACCTTGAAGCCCGAAACTTTCATAGTACTGTCGAATGCATTAAAGGTGAATTTGACATTAAGTCAATTCAAAAATCAACACAAATACTAAAATTATGGAAAAGCATACAAATATGTCGCTTCTCCTTTTGAATTAAAAAGAAACACTATTAATTTAAAATCTATAAAGGGTACAACTTGCGAAACTATTTATTTACTATGAAAAGAATTAGGTTAGGTTATTTAATTACGGCAAAGCCTCGAAGGCTATCTGCCTAAGGGGACGGATGCCTTCGTGGAGGACTTTTAAGGGAAACTGGCTCGATCACATGTTACACATAGGAAAAAACCACGATAAAACCCATTCAGCCAGCCCGTTCGCAGGATTCGAACCTCGGACCGAACTACCAGTGTTCAGCGACTTTACCGCTCGGCCTCTGGTGGGCATGAAAAGCAGTAAAAGTTATTTCAAGAAACGAGTTTCAGTATTAAAATCTATATTTGTTTCTGTATTTCCTTTGGTTTTTGAAGTAAAAACATATAAAGCAAAAATACTGAAATATTAAAATAGTATGCTTAAGTTTGAACACAATTAGAAGTAGGAATATAGTATATAACGGTAATCAGTTACTAAAATTTCTTATTGTAAATATTCGACTTGATTCTTGATTCTGGATACCGACTATGCACTCTCATGTTGCATGATCTTATATATACATACGTTACGTAAGTACTTCTTGTGTACACGATACACGATAATGTACACGATAGTGTACATATTATGCACATGATATACTATATGTACGACTGTGTGCACAATAGTTTACACAAGGAAAATATTTTGCGTAATCCAATTATAAAGTGTTAGATACTTATTTATAATACTCATGATGTAAAATGAGACTTCCTATGGGATGTCTGAAGCAAGTCTAGGAAAAATAATGATTTAAATAATTTACTTTAGCTATATGAAGGAACACACTTTTATGATATTGAAGATACAAGACAAATTTAAGAAACGTACATTTAGCAGCACAGCCTATATGTCGCAGATATGGTTTTATTGCAACGTCCAAACGGTAAACACCCAGAAGAGATTTTTTTCTAGGAGCATGAAATATATAAATATTATTTGAATCTCAAATAAAAATTCAAAAGGTTCCAAAAATTTATTTAATTATAAGAAACAAAATATTACGAATGCTATGTTTATCAACATCTCATATGTTTGTAAATATTTTACTGTAATTTGTTAACGACATTATGCCAAATTTATCAGTAACCTCACAAGTAATTAAAAAACATTAAAATGTTAATTCTCTTTTGAGATTGGTCAAGAAAAATTATTGATGTTTACAAGAATTCGTACATCAGTTTACTAATATATCTTTGTTATAAAGAAAGGAGTTGCTAAAATACAATTTACAGACATACACTAGTTTTTTTCCCTCATCGGTATATATAAAATAATTCAATAATTTTTTTACAAAGCTTGCCACATATTTTTAATAATAATTATAAAGATATATTTTTAGTTGCATACAAAAAATAGGGTCTTGCGTTACTTCCATCATGTAACTGTGTATGTAACTGACTAGAAGAATAAATTCGATAGCTCGTGTGCATGCTTGTATTGAAAAGAAACAAACAAGTGAAATATACAGAGGGTATGATTGATTGAAGGTTGTGAAAACTTTTCAGAATTTCGTTTTATGATATAGAACGCCATATTCAATAAGCTGACTTGAAGAATTTACACATTCTACTGTGCAAAATAATTCTTCACCTGTATTATGGACGCTTATACATCGCATTCTATTCGGAAAATGCTAACGTTAGATTATGCAATGAAAAAGTTCCACCTGCCTGCCGCAGATAAATAAAATACGAAATTCCTAGAGAGTCAGCATAAAATGCTATTTGCGATAAAAATTAATGAACTCGTGTGTGATTTAATTACTGATGAATAAGTAGCGTTTCCATGGAAAAGTGGTTTGGCATCGGAGCTTCCCAGCGTACTCTTCTTCACCGGTAGGCGGCGCTGGATGAGCTCCGAATGAGAGCACTGGCGCGCTTTCATCCTGAAACATCCTTGCCCAGGGAAGAAATGCTGAATGCATTTTTGCACGTGTTTGTCTTGTAGCATATGACCGATGGTCCAAAGACCTAAATCCATGGCTTGATTTCGCGTACAGAATATTGTCTGACAACAACCTGCGACGCCTGCTGGTCTTTCTGAAGCCAGAGACTTAACATAACTTCATATAAACACCGGATGGACTATGTTGGGCGTAGATGATTTTGAAGATAACTACAATATATAAGTTTAATTTTTTTCTTTGAATGACGGTCCTGAGAAGAACTAAGCAGAAATATTTAACAAAGAATATTAGGACAAAGGACTAATGCCGATTTTTCAGCTCGTGCGTTGTGTGTTGGCATTCACGTTTGTTCTCTGTTTACATTATGTTCGTGGAAATGATGACGCTAAAAGACTGTATGATGACCTTATTAATGGTTACAATTCACTCATCAGACCCGTAGGCAATAATTCGGACAGGTTAACGGTAAAAATGGGACTCAGATTGTCTCAGCTGATTGATGTGGTAAGTCATAACTTTAGTATTCATTATACAAGACGGCTTAAAGATCATTTTACTGATTTATTTTGAAGTATTGGTTGCTATTTATAAAATATACGATGTTAAGCTAATTGTTCTTGATACAAATTTAAAGAAAAAATAAATATTGCATGTATTATTATTAATTTACTTTTCACGAGGTTCACAAAAGCAACGAATTAATTCAGCAGAAAAAGAGGCCTACAGGCTCCTAAATATTACATATTTTTAAAAGCAAAATGCAATTTATTTTAAGTATTTTTTTTAATTTAATCTGAATATAAGCAATTCAGAAGTTTCCAGAATGAGGAATACTCTAAAAGAACATCTTTTGAAACTAAATCTGTTCACAGGGGACGTTTCAGAACAATACAGCACTACATAACATTTTTTGTTTAAAGAACATGATTATTAACTTAAATACTGTATTATGTACCTTTGCATCTAAATCTGCTTGTGAATATTATATGTTATTTAAGTAGTTATAAAAGAAACATAAAAGTGTACTTGCAAAGATAATCCATACATCAAACAATTACTTTTAGGCAAGAATATCTATAATTTGTGAGCTCTATCAGATGTGACCAGTTATTATTATAAATTTATTTCCTACTAAAATTTATTCTTTTAAATACATGATGTTCACAAATACGGTAGTGCAGATGCACATACTGCATTTAAGACGCATCTAAAAGTTAGATTTAATGACAGGAAACTCAATAATAGTAAGTTACTGTCAGATACCGGTTCAATTAACAAGGCAATTTGGTAGACAAATTTCGTAGTCATAAAATTGAACACAGTGATAAAGCCATAATTCCAGAAATTTATGATAAAATGGCATTTTTTTTCTATTAATTACTTTTATATGGCATTATAATCATCATTTTGTTTGAAATCCATTTGACGTTTGAAGCAAGAAATATTAACATTTATTTCGTATTTATACAATGACTGTACATTATTCAAGAATGTATATTGTTTTAAATTACCTGGATCATTTCCCCTCAACTGCTGAGAAAGTGTTAATCAACTAATTTTTTAGTCTAAATTTTATTGGAAATTCATTTAGCATATGTATATTTCAAGTGATTATCTTTGCGCATTTAATTAGTTTCGCCGTGAAAGTGCAGAATCGTCCACTGCTTGGCGCGTTTTTAAGAATTGCACATATGCGGTATCCATGTCTCTTGACTTTATCCATGTACACATCGACCTATTTTCTTTTAAAATGTCAAAGAAAATTGACAAAAATCCAATTCTTCTTACTCTTGTATAAAGCGCCAAACAAATAAGTGGGCGATTCTGCACTTTAGCCACTTTCGCTTCCGTTTAATATGGAAGGAAGTTCATTTAAAAATAATTTAAAATAATTATTTCTATTTATTTAAGAATTTTAAGTTCAACTTTATCTCCATTGTGATCTGCAATATTAGTCTAAAACTTTCCAGTATTTTATACATATAGCTATCTATCTATCTCTATATTTATCTATCTATTTACCTTTATCCATCATATATATAAATATAGAGACTACGAAAAAATGCGAAAAATAGAAGAGACCTATATCTGTAGTGAATATATATATATATATATATAGTGAATATATATATATGATGTACCAGCTTTAGTCGTAGCTTAAATTATCAGACGATAAGTTTAAAAAAAAACAGGATCCATTTATTATTATTCAGGAGAAATAGCAGTTACAAAATCAGATATCCGGAGTAAATAAAAAGAATTACTAATGACTTTTTGTATGAAGTTTACTGCATTGTGACATTTAAGAAAAAGCCCCCGATATTCCTTTGCTAGTCCTTTTATAGCCTCTGGAAAGGCGGAGCTTCCAAGAAATGACATCAGCCTCGTCCGCCAATCCAGTTCGCTTTAAATATTTACAGAACATTATATAACTGTACGTATAGAAAAGGCGGGAAAACCAACTTGACTACGGGGCTGTGGATTTAATTCCACGTACTTTCAAATAAGAGACCATCGCCGTTAAAAATGAAAAGAACATACAGTTAGAATTTTAAGTGTATTCTTGACTATGGAATTTTACTATTACATATATATTTGTCTCCTATTTTTCAGACTGCATGTAACTGCATAAATAGGTATCATTATAATTTCGATTTGTGTAAGACTGAAAAATTCATGAATCCTGCAAATTATTATCAAAAGTAGCGAAGGGATTAAAACAATGTGCATAAAGTCGAATATAAGTAGTTGCTTTTGAAACTGTACTATTTTGAAATGTAAAATTTCAAAATAGTATGGTAAAGTATATGCTTTCTTTAAAGTTAGCATTCACGATCAGCTTATTGTATAATTAATATGAAAGAGCTTTATTTTTAAAAGCTCCATGCGTGTTATTTATATTTTTATTTCTTATTATCAGCAAAGAAGTTATCAAATTAATTTTTATTTTATATTCAAGTTTTTAAATCTCTTTTCTACATAATGTAGATGATTATACAGACGGTCTTGGAAAAAGGGTTATATTAAACATAAAGATTTGTACTGATGGTAAGAAACATACATCCTTTAATAGATTTCGGTGTTGAAGCTGACCTCTAATTTTAAGTTGAGATCAGCTCATTATTAAGAAACTTGTATATGATATGCCTTTGTACTATGATCGAATTAAAAATGAAGCCCACCAGCAGCCGAGCGCTAAAGTCGCTGAACACTGGTAGTTCGGTCCGAGGTTCGAATCCCGCGAACGGGCAGGCTGCATTGGTGTTTTTGTGTTTTCCCCATGTGTTACGTGTATACGAGCCAGTTTCCCTTAGAAAGTCCTCCACGAAGGCATTCCTCCCCTTAGGCAGATAGCCCTAGTGTGCTTTGCCATAATTAAATACACCAACACCAACGAATTAAAATGTATTAAATAAATATGAAGGCGAGTGAATGTCACTTCCAAATATTACAGAGTAAAAACACCTCTCATATTTTAAATCTTACTTCATCTAATAATTTTATTAAAACATTTTAACTGGTTTTGAGCCTTTCTCTGAACAATAATTATGAAAATGAGAAGTGTCTCCGTCGGATATTTAGTCCGAATCCTCTTCCATTTGCTAGCTGGTTGTGCTGAATATTCCATGAAAAGCGAGGGATGCGTTTAAATCTTCATATTGTTGCTAACATCATAGACCTAAAGGGTATATTAAACATTCTGGTGATATTCCAGTGCCATCTATAAGCACAAGTCATGAAAATATACCAAAAGCACAGTGCTCTAGGACTGGACCTATGCCAAGTCACACATTGGGAGCGACAACGAAAGAGCGAAAAGAGCAGTGACTAGGCTACGTATCAATAATTGATTCAAAGTAACAAAATAATTTCCATAATGCTTAAAAACACCAAATGTACTGAGCTGAGCCTATGAACTTTATGAACATTGGACTTGGATAGAAAGATCTGAGCTAAGTACAGTCTTACCTGTAACAAATACCCTCGCATAACAAGAATCAGACAGTACAATACATTAGCAAAATTAAATCCCATGTGTTTATCTACTTGGATAAAAATGCAAATATTCCAGATCTCCAGAAAATCGACCCTTCAACTGTACTATATTTACCTAATCCAGTATCATAATGAGTATACTCAACAGTTTATGTTTTGTTATGTAACTTTACCTAATTTTATGTTATTATTTTCATATGTTTAAATGTAACAAATTCCGATCTATAACTCCAGGAATCCCTAAGAGAAGCATAAAGTCAGTTCAAATTTTTCAAACTCTAGCTTGTTAGTTTACTGGGCCAATAGCTGTTGGATTCTGTAGCGATATAGCGAAGTCTCTGGTGGCCCAAGCGCTTTTACATGTTTAACGATATAATGGTATGATATCCATTTAAAAATTGCTTTATGTTTTTCTTATCTTAATATTATATATGCATATTTTTGACATTAATAGAAATTTTTACTCCTAACTCGAGAGGAATTCGAGACTCAAATTTGGTTTAAAGTGCGGGATTTACTGTTACATATAAACTAATGCCCGTATAAGAACAAAACTGAAAAGTAATATAAAATATCGAACGAAAGGCTTAATGTAAAGTGCAATAAAGAATTATAAACCTAAAATGTGAAATATTTTTAATTTAAGATGCTGTGGGAATAAAGATCCGTGGTCAAACTCCTGCAAAAGAATAGTTGATTGTTCACGGTTCTCTATCCGAAAACGCTAATGTTGGACAGGATTTTTAATAAACGTTAGTTTCGTGTTGTTGAGGAAATATATTAGTTAAGAATAAAAATAAATATGTTGCAGGTAAGTAAGTAATTAAGATTTGATAAATACTTGTTGTAGAAGGTTTACGCCTCTGAAAAGAAAGAAAAGTTTACATCTGAAAGCTGCATAGTTTGAATTAAATATTTGATTAATATTTTGCCAGTAAGCAAAACAGTTTTTTTGAACATTTTAACATTTACAGCAAGTCGTTACAGAAATTTAGGTTAATGATGTCACAATATTGGTTTAAAAATATCGAGGAAAATGCTTGCTAGAATTTCTTATAATAAAATGAAAAATGAAACGGTATGACTCTAAGATTGCATAATTTTTCACTGAAAATATCTCCTCAGAATTCGAAACCCAGTTCTTTTAAATACATTTCGCTTTCTAATGTTTAATATTTCCATCTATTTTAATTTATTAAAAAGACAAAATGAATTTTACTGTCTTTCGACGAAGAATTTATGTCTAAAAGTATTTTGCTTTTAATTACTTTACATTTTCAGAACATGATTTTCTACTGATGTAAAAGTGATATAGGGTTATTAATGGTCATAGATTCAACCACCAGTCTATAAAGCATTTAGTTAGATTCTCTATTTTATAACTCATTTAACGATTATTTAACAAGTAATTATAAATGATAAGTTTACATAATTCAGATCCGGGATGTCTTTATCATCCGCATAAGCAAAGTCATTTGAAAATTTTAGGAAGGAATAATTTATGCAAA